CCCCCCCCCCTCTCTCTCTCATCTATCTCTCTATCTATCCATCCATCCATCCATCCATCCATCTATCTATCTATCCCTCTATCTATCTATCTCTCCATCTCTCTCTCTCTCTCCTTCTATCTATCCCTCTATCTATCTAATTTTCCTGTACCTCTCCCCCTCTCCCCGGTATATATGTATATAGAGCGATATGAGGGCCCCGGGCTGTCATGTGCCCCCTGGGCCCCGGCTCCTGTTACAGTGGATTTGATGTGCGGAGGAGAAGCCTTCGGAATATTGAATGTAGAATTGGCAGCCGGTATGAATCCCGACACCGAGCTCCCGGCCTCCAGTCCGAGCCGATCACAGCCGGTGAGCGCGGCAGCTGGTCCGAGGAGGCGGCGAGACGGCCAGATCTCATCTACTCGCTGCCAGAGTCCATGCCGCCCCCTCCCCCATCACATAGCGGGTCAGGTATTATACCTCAACCCAATGACATTCCGTGCGCTACAAGTATCATAAACATTCACCATTAATCCTCCTTACATCTCAGTGCTGCTGATCTCCTGCAGCCTCTTTACAGCCACTTCCCGTCCACATGCACTCCAGCGATCTCTGCATGACATTTGTCATGGTGGGTTTCCTGAGGGTGACAACAGTGGGCCATGTCTGCGTAATGTGTGCTGAAATGCGCACTTGTAGTCTCCATCAGAAGCCTTAATGACAGGGTGACAACACAGGATCGCAGTTGGGAGACAGGAACAGAGTGTTGTCACCTTATAACATGAAGTGCCTGAACAAGGACAGAGCTTGGTCACCCTATAACAGGAAGTGTCTAAACATGGACAAAGCTTGGTCACCCTATAACAGGAAGTTCCTGAACAAGGACAGAGCGTTGTCACCCTATAACAGGGAGTGTCTGAACATGGACAGAGCATTGTCACCCTATAACATGAAGTGCCTGAACAAGGACAGAGCGTTGTCACCTTATCACAGGAAGTGTCTCAACATGGACAGAGCATTGTCACCCTATAACAGGAAGTGCCTGAACATGGACAGAGCTTGGTCACCCTATAACAGGAAGTGCCTGAACAAGGACAGAGCGTGTCACCCTATAACAGGAAGTGTCTCAACATGGACAGAGCATTGTCACCCTATAACAGGAAGTTCCTGAACAAGGCCGACGCTTCTATTTCCCCACAATGCATCTCTGGGCTGAAGAGCTGACAATCTAAAAGGCGCCCCGCGATAGGACGGTTCTGGGGTTGTGACCTGAAAGGCAGCGTGGCGCCGTGACTGATCCCCCGGCTGCAGGGACTCAGGGAGAAGAGTTCCTCCTCCGGGGATGAAGACTTTCCTTGTTTCCCGATTGATCACTGGGGGAGGGGAGACTGAGGAAATGCTTCCTCCTGCCTGCAGTAGACTGATCACTGGGGGAGGGGGGACTGAGGAAAGGCTTCCTCCTGCTGACAGAAGACTGATCACTGGGGAGGGGAGACTGAGGAAATGCTTCCTCATGCCTGCAGAAGACTGATCACTGGGGGAGGGGAGACTGAGGAAACACTTCCTCCTGCCTGTAGAAGACTGATCACTGGGGGGAGGGGAGACTGAGGAAACACTTCCTCCTGCCTGCAGAAGACTGATCACTGGGGGAGGGGAGACTGAGGAAACGCTTCCTCCTGCCTGCAGAAGACTGATCACTGGGGGAGGGGAGACTGAGGAAACGCTTCCTCCTGCCTGCAGAAGACTGATCACTGGGGGAGGGGAGACTGAGGAAACGCTGGCTTCTACAATCCTCTGTGGCAATATTTTAATGCTGCCAAAAAGGCAATACCAGAACATGGCCACTAGGTGGCGCTGATGATCACTGTCTCAGCGCCATCTAGTGACCAACGTCTGGTATTACATCACATTACATTTCGCCTGCAAAGAAATAATACTGAGAACGTTCGTTTTTGCCTCTGTTCACACAGAGCGAACACTCGCAGAGATTCACCCGGGTGACCGGCTCTGCAAATTTGTCATCAATAGACCCCAATAAGATGCATTTTATCGGTAACTCATTAAAGACAGAAGCTTCCGGGGCCCCTCAGATCCGTTCCTCGGGGGTATATATTTGTATAACATTGTATATCATTTGTATGAACCCCCGAAGAAGAGATCTAAGGGGACCCGAGGGGCGTCCCGGGGGCGGAGACCGGGTGACACCCTCGCCGTGACATTATCGCGCGTGCGCAGTCGTCTTATTGACACCTGCCGGCGGCCATCTTGGTGTTGGACGCCGGCAGAGAGAGGAGGGGGACGTTCACCCGGCGGGATAAGGTATGCCGCCGCGTCCCCTCCTCTCTCCTGACACTGTCTGGCTCTCGGTCCAAGACTGAGTGCCCGACTTATCATAGGGGGGTGACACCAAAATGACTGTCAGTCATTCTGGTGTCACCCCTGCAATGGCCGCACCCCACGGCCCGGAAGCTTCCGTCTTCATTATCTTCAGGCAGCCAATGAGAGGTGATTGATTGATGGCTGACACCGTCTCCAAACGGACGACCAATCGGAAACAAAGCGCGCTGAATCCCCCGGCCAGATGTGGATCGGAGGACGCGCTGGTGTCCCGCCCCCCCCTCCCCCCGCGCTGTCTTTCTGCATTATACAGAAGATAATGGCGACGTCCGATGACAAAACATTTTCTGCCCCGTCCGTTCGCTGCTCCTGGGAGACTGACATCCGGCCGGACGAGATTGTTGGGCTCATTCCAGAGAGGAGAGCGAGGGGCGAAGAGTGACAAGATGATGTGCAGGAGGGGGCAGAAAATCCGAATGACCGGGACGTGTTCCTATTTACTGAACCACAGCAATGAGATGGGAATCCTAATGGGGTGGGGGAGGGGAGAGAGGCAGAGAGAGTCTGTAATATGTCTACACTCTCTGACCATCTCTAGTATTGTGTCTGCCGTCTCTCTGACCTCCTGTAGTATGTCTGCAGTCTCTGACCATCTCCTGTACTATGTCTGCAGTCTCTGACCATCTCCTGTACTATGTCTGCAGTCTCTGACCATCTCCTGTAGTATGTCTGCAGTCTCTGACCATCTCCTGTACTATGTCTGCAGTCTCTGACCGTCTCCTGTAGTATGTCTGCACTCTCTGACCATCTCCTGTACTATGTCTGCAGTCTCTGACCATCTCCTGTACTATGTCTGCAGTCTCTGACCATCTCCTGTAGTATGTCTGCACTCTCTGACCATCTCCTGTACTATGTCTGCAGTCTCTGACCATCTCCTGTACTATGTCTGCAGTCTCTGACCATCTCCTGTAGTAGGCCTGTAGTCTCTGACCATCTCCTGTACTATGTCTGCACTCCCTGACCATCTCCTGTACTATGTCTGCAGTCTCTGATCATGCATTGAATATCATGTGGGGCCCCTCGGTGATGTCAGGGGCCCCTATATCATTAGTGGACCTCTCCTGGTTAGTAAATCCCCCGATTAGGAGAAGAGACGCGACTACAACTTCCTCGGTAACGATGTTCCAAATTGGCCGCCAGGAATATGTCATCGCCGACCTCCGAGAAATCACCAACAACACGCGGGAACGGCGACCAATCCGGAGCGGATTTAATTGCATGATGGAGGAGAGAGGAGGATGGAGGGGAGAGGAGGATGGAGGGGAGAGGAGGATGGAGGAGAGAGGAGGATGGGAAAGAGGAGGATGGAGGAGAGAGGAGGATGTAGGGTCCAGAGTCCCCCCAGTCAGGGAGGAGTCACCCCTCTCCCAGCTCAGCCTTCAACAAGTGCTCCTCTCCCCCGCAGCACATCGTCCGCCCGCTGCCCCCAAATCTGACGAATTACTTCACTCCGCTCCATACCGCTTCGTATCGCCGGGCCCGCGGAGCCCCCCGGAGGACATTACACCCGGAGCGGATACACGATGGGCAGAGGGGTGAGTCCGTCCAATCTCTGTACATTTCTGTAGGTGATGAGAAGGGATTCACACCAGATTCACTGATGGAAGGGGGAGCGGTGAATCCAGACTTCGCAAGGGAATGAAATGTCGGGTGTCAGGAGGGATCCCGGGATCGATGTGATCGGCTATTCCCGGCAAAGCGAATTTGCACATTCACTAAACTAAGGGGACATTCCCCTGCATGGTGAACATGCTGCACTCCGCCAGTGAATCCGAGTCCCTGTGTGTATCTGCGTGTGTATCTGTGTGTGTATCTGTGCGTGTGTATCTGTGTGTGTGTGTATCTGCGTGTGTATCTGTGCGTGTGTGTGTATCTGTGTGTGTGTATCTGCGTGTGTATCTGTGTGTGTGTGTATCTACGTGTGTATCTGTGTGTGTATCTGTGTGTGTGTATCTGCGTGTGTATCTGTGCGTGTGTGTATCTGTGTGTGTGTATCTGTGTGTGTGTGTGTGTGTATCTATGTGTGTGTGTGTGTGTGTGTATATCTGTGTGTGTATCTGCGTGTGTATCTGTGTGTGTGTGTGTGTGTATCTGTGCGTGTGTGTGTATCTGTGTGTGTGTATCTGTGTGTGTGTGTATCTGTGTGTGTATGTGTGTGTGTATGTGTGTGTATCTGTGTGTGTGTGTGTGTGTGTGTGTGTGTGTGTGTGTGTGTGTGTGTGTGTGTGTGTGTGTGTGTGTGTGTGTGTGGGTGGAGGAAAAGAGAAGGAAGCAAATCAGTGTCGTTATGTGCGGGGAGCGAACTCACCAACACCGACACTACTAGAGGAGGAGATATGATGGGGTGTCAGGAAAAGATCAGTCATTTCAGTCCTCTATCTATCTATCTATCTGTCTATCTATTTTTCTACCTCTTCTCCCCCCTCTCTCTCTATAGTCTATCTCTCCCCCTCTCTCTTCTTTCCTTCTCTTCCGTGTGTCTCTCTCTCTCCCTGTCTTGGTGCACATTACTTGTCTGTACCGTGTCATGTGACTGACCCACTTTCTATGTGACATTCTATGGATAAGTCTTTATTCTCAGCCCACCTAAGAGGAAGGAATTTCAGCTCCATCTCAGATTTACCATCCAATCAGAAACCATCGTTCTCTGGTCCATGAACTTCAGACTGAGCTTGTATTTGATTGGTCGATGTGGTTTACGGCTCTGTGTCATCGCCCCTCTTTGTATTACCTTCATCTCCGAATAGATCAAATGATTTAATTCTGAGCTCCCGGGTCTGTACACCTGCTGTGCCCATTATGAGGAGCCCCCACCATCCCTGTGCTGAGTTCCCGGGTCTGTACACCTGCTGTGCCCATTATGAGGGGCCCCCACCATCCCTGTGCTGAGTTCCCGGGTCTGTACCCCCGCTGTGCCCATTATGAGGGGCCCCCACCATCCCTGTGCTGAGTTCCCGGGTCTGTACACCCGCTGTGCCCATTATGAGGGGCTCCCACCATCCCTGTGCTGAGTTCCCGGGTCTGTACACCCGCTGTGCCCATTATGAGGGGCCCCCACCATCCCTGTGCTGAGTTCCAGGGCCCCCCTCATACATCTTCGGGGGGGAACTCTCTGATCCCTGTGGTGTATGATGGAGGTGTTTGTTCTCTTCCCATGGACGATACAACAACCTTGGCGGTTCCTCGGTCCCAGAATAGC